GTACCCAATAATGCTCCCCTATTACCCAGTAATCCCACTTCTGGGCATATAACCAGGTGATCACAAACAAGGCCACAGTAAAGCTACTACTGTGTATCACAGTAATATTTACCAAAAATGACACACACACTCTCTTTCTCTCTCTCTCTCTCTCTCTCACACACACACACACACACACACACACATGCACAGATAAACACACATGGAAAACTATGCTTCAATCACAAAGAATGTGACCACCTCATTTGTAAGGAAATGGAAGATCTTGGAAAAAATCATATTAGTGAAGTAAGCCAGACTTAAAGACACATAGGTCCCACGGTTTCCTTTATTTGTAATAATTAGTTTACATGAATGATAATCTCACATATTTTAATTTGACATTTTGTTCTATGTTGAGCGCGCAACATTATTGCTATATTTTTTGTTATTATTTCTGCAAATAGGCAGGTATACTTAAAGAATTACATTCATCTTATCCATTATTGAAGGTATACTTAAAGAATTACATTCATCTTATCCATTATTGAAGGAAGAACAACTAAAAGAGTAACCACTACTAGGAAGAACAACTCCTACTTAGCTTCATTCCTATGTAAGGCCAATGTTGTCCCCTGTATCCTCATGTTGTACATTACAACTCTATACCTGGTCATAATGTATACCTAGTATCTTATGCATTGTGAACTAAATGCCCGAACTAAATGCTTTACTTTAAAAAAAAATTCTGTCCATGTTTGAGGATGGTTTGTGTGTGTGTGTGTGTGTGTGTGTGTGTGTGTGTGTGTGTGTGTGTGTGTGTGTGTGTGTGTGTATGTTTACAAAGATCAGAACATAACATTTTTCTTCATTTCGAATACATCTTACAGGTCATTGTAAGTTGTGGCTAATGGGAGCAGTCTCTTGTTATTTTAAGGATGAAACAGAAAAAGATATTTGTGCATGTAACACAGTTGCTTTATTAGTGTCGTTGAACACTGAACTTCGATTTACATCTTGGCTGTTGTTGTGAATAATGTGAATAACAATGAACTACAGATATATTTACGAGTTACCCAGAGAGAAATAATCACATGATTGGTGGGTCAGATGATATTTCAAGTATGATTTCTTTAGAAAACTGCATACTACTTTCTACAAGGAGAATACTAACCTGGATTTTGTCCAAGAGTAGAAAATTTCCTTTTCTTCACACTCTCACCAACATGATTACCTTTTATTCAAAAGGGAATAAAGGGCAAATTTTACTATCTTCAGTACCCTAGACTGGCTTAAGACCGAAATCCAACCTCCTAAATGCTTGGACTTACAAACTTTTACCACCACACCTGGTTCCTTTGATTTTTTTTGATAAGAGTTATAATAGTTATAAAGTAGTATCATAGTAATTTTTAATTACATTTCTCTAATGACTTCTTCTCACAGCATTAAGCCAGTACAGAAGTTGTATTAATCACAACTGTGTAAACCCACTGGTGATATAGAGGGGTTTATGGAAAACATGTCTATTCCAACTTTTGTCCATTTTTAATCAAGTTTCTTGTTAATCTCATCTTTAATCTCTCTATACAAAAATAATTAATTCAAGGTAGTAAAAAGTAAAAAATTAAGCAACTCCTAACATTTTTCAATTTTCAATAACATGATATTGCTTAAATCATTTTCTGTTTATGCTTGAGACTATATAACAATTTATTTAGACCTTTTACATATCTATATATATTTTATTTATTTTACATTGATTGCTCTTTCCAAAGCCTGCGTGTCTAATTTTGGTTTCTTTCAGTCTTAAGAAGTTCAGATTTCAAACTCAAGAATAAATGGATGTAAGCAAACAAAAAAATACAGTTCCTCTCATCTGATAATGCCTCTACAAGAATGAGAAAAGAGCTCATCATTCTAAGGACCCTTAATTCTTAAGATAACATTTGCTATAATGCTAATGTTATTACCATTTTAGTGTTGGGAAAAATTGTAATTAAAGGCACTAAGTGCATGGCCCAAGACACACAGTGAGGAAGGAAATGAGTCAAATTTTCCAAAAGTCTTCCAGCAATACACAAAAGGTAGATAAATTCTCTCCATTCACTGATACTCTCAATTCAATATTCATACTGTCCAAGAAATAATAGCATAGCAATTATTGCCCATGGTAATTGTTTTCTGTTACATTTTGTCTTCAACACAGACTGTGTTGGTGACATTGGGTTATCATGCACAGAGCTGAACTTATAAATTATGGTCCAAAGAGAGGCAAATTTCTTCTGTCCCATAGTTCCAGTATCATTTTTAAAAAGTACTAAATCTTTTAAATATCATCACTTATTGTATTTTGATAATTCAAGAATGAAAAATTTCACATATAATCACTCCAAAATGCTTTAAGACTAGGGTATGATAAAACAGGCCTCTGTGAAGTAATTTTTTTTCTACTTTTAAAATTATTCTGAAAGCCTGGTACTGGTTTGTCACACCTGTAATCCTAACTACTCGGGATACCTACTAAGGAGCCTGAGATCTGTGGATAATATTGGGAAGCCAACAGGACAAAATAAATTCATGAGATTATTTTTCAAAATTTTAACGAAATAGCAAAGGGCCAGGAATGGAGATGTAGCTCATATAATAACTCACCAGTCTAGAGAGAAAGACGTAGCGAGATGTTGAAGCCCTGATTTCAAACTCTGAGCATGCCAACACGCAGGAATGCACACACACTCACTTTTTCAAAATATCTTCATATCAGTGTTTTGCATTAATTTCTTTGTTAACGATATTATATGGGTAAAATGGGCTTCATAAACTCTTCCATCTCAAAACATTTTTATACATTTTTGTTGCAAAAATACTGTACAGAGGGGTTATAGTTATATGAGCAAAGTAATAAGTACATTTCCTATCAAGCATTGTTACCTCCTCCTTTGTTTTTCCCCCACCATTCCTTCCCTTACACCTCCACAAGTACACTCCTCATACCCCAAAGCCCCACCAAATGTCCCTAGCCTAAATTGTAAAGTTCGTTTTTCAAAATAATGTCTTGTGCATCTATTGTTATACAATGGGTCAAACAGTATTCCTATTTAAGCATGTTGTTTTTTTCCTTTCCCTCCCCAAATTAGAGAAGTGTACATTCAAGATGCAGGTGCACCAACATCAAATAAAGTGAAAACAGGGTAATACTGTTGGGGAGGAACGTATAAAAAAGAAAAACAATCACGTCGTACATTATAAATATGTGAGAAACAACAGCAAGAAAGAAAAAAAAAAACACTTGTGTCTATATCTTGGGGGTTATTTAGCTTAACATCAACTTATCTAGTCATATACACATAGGCTTTCAACTTTTCTGCTTATCCCAGACATATACTAGTTATTGCAAATAAGGGATACCATGGGACCTATGTTTCTTTGGACTTGGCTTACATCAGTTAATATAATTTTTTTCCAAGTCTTTCCATTTCCTAACAAATTGAGCGATGTCATTCTTTCTGATGGAGGCATAGAATTAATATATATATATATATATATTTATATATATATATAAATATATATAAATATATATATAAATATATATATATTTATATATATATATATATTTATATATATTTATATATATATATATATATATAGTATATGTGTGTGCGTGTGTGTGTACACACAAATACACACAGAACATTTTCCTTTTTTGTTTTTTAGAGCAACTTAGTTTTCCACCTTCATCATTTTTTCAAATGTTTTTATTGTGATTAAGTGGTTACAAATTTCCCAAATTTCACAATATTGTGGGATAGTGATGCTTAGTTTAAGTCACAAACACATTCTAACTTCGATGGAGCAAATTGTCTATTATGGTCTACAACATTTATGAATTCTATGAGCTTTGCAATAGAGTTATTTCTTCCATATGTAAACTTTTCTTGTTTTGAAATATGTATATTTTTTTTGTATTGCGTAGCATCAGCTGTTCCCTCTTTCCCACTTGTTCCCTCCCTCCTTCCAGTGACATTGAGTTGCTTAGTTCATTTTGGTCAATGTCCAGCACAGCTGATGGATCCCACTGTTGTATGTTTTTTCCTGATTCCCTCTAGTTCTGTGTCGTCCTCCTGGTTTCCCTTCAGTGTGCACATATGACGGGCAGAATGGGGTTATTTAGTAGTGATTCGACCAGATGAGTGGAAGTTCTTGGTTTCTTAAGTGTTGTTAATTTTGTCATATCACCTTACATTTTGGATTTAACATCTGCTTATCACGGAGACCATGTGCCATTTGTCTCTTTGCTTTTGGCTTAACTCACTCAACATGATTTCCTGTAGCTTGATTGATTTCCCTACTAATGCCATTATTTTGTCCTTTCTAATGGCTGGAAAATATTCCGTTGTGTATAGTTACCACAGTTTTTTGATCCATTCATCTCTGGTGGGACATATGGGTTGTTTTCATATCCTGGCTATTGTGAACAGTGCTGCAATAAACATGGAAGTGCATTTGTCCTTGAATATTGGTACCTGTTATTCAGGATAGATGCCTAGAAGTGGTATGAGTGGGCCATAAGGAAGGTCAATATTTATCTTTCTGAGGACTCACCAGACTGCTTTCCAAAGTGGTTGTGTAAGTGTACATTCACACACACACACACACACACACACACACACACACACACACACACACAGAGTGAGAGAGAGAGAGACAGAGAGAGAGAGAGAGAGAACATTTTCTTGATCCATTCTTCTACTGAGCAGCATCAGGGTTGGTTCCATATCTTAGCTATGGAAAATAATGCTACAATAAACATTGTTGTGGTGGTAGTTTTAGTATGGACTGGTTTGTGATCATTTGGGAGAATGCCCAAAAGTGGGATTGCTGTATAATAGGGAGCTCTATGTGGAGGCTTTTGAGGAACCTCCAAACTGCTTTCCAAAGTGGATGAAAAAGTTTACACTCCCACCAAGAATGCCGTAGGCTTCCCTTCTGGCCATATCCCTTCCAGCATCTGTTGTTGTAAAAATATGGAACAATTCACTAATTTGTACATCATCCTTGTGCAGGGACCATGCTAATCTTCTCTGTATGTTCCAATTTTAGTGTATGTGCAGCCAAATTGAGCACAAAACATTTTTTATATATAAAAAGTAATTGATTTTCTTAAACTAGACAATTCAACAAAATTAAATTCAAAAGAATTGTGAAATTTTAGAACCATGTGTTTCTTATATAAGCACACATTTAAGAATAAAGTCAAGATTGACATATCAAAAACAAAATAATTCCAGATATTTGTTGTTCATGAGATTTGTAGGAGGAGGAGTTCAATTATTCTACAAAAGGCACTTGTCATAATGATCATTGCAGCAAATGTTAAGGTTTGTTAAAAGTTTTAATGTTTTAAATATGTTTAATTTTGGGATTTGCTTATATATGGCAAAATTAAGTCATAAAAATTTTTGATAACGTATATAATATTTCTGGTAGCATGTACTAGTAAGTATGTACATTTCAGATTTTATAGAAACTTTACTAATGAGAAGTTGCAAAGACTGTGTAAAGAAGCAGAGTGAAGAGTTAAGATTTTAAGTACACAGTTTCTGTTAAATCTTTAGGGCTCCTTTACGTTATATGTTAGTGGTGAACAAATAATGATATAATTCACATACAAATGATGAGATGAACTATAAATAGTAATCTTAGTGAGTAAATTTAAAGGCTACTTATAGCTTTATCCAGTTTTAAATGTACAGGAATATGAGAAAATAGTAAACTCTACTATGTGCACTTCAAATACTGAAAACCCTGGTAATTGTTTTGTTTTTTATTTTAGTAATCATTAATATTTAATTATTGTTTTCTTTATTTATAACAACTTTTTGTGAGTCATGATTAAGAGGTACTTTGAGAATATTATTGGGATGGCCACACAATTTTTCATAGGTGCATGTGAATTTACAAAGAGCAAAACTAAAAACAAAATATTGATTAAAAATTATATCAAGTAGAGTCTGAATCAGGAGTGTTGATAAATGTCCACACCTAAAATCTTAACCCTAGGCTGGAGCATCTTATTTCAATATTGTTGAGAATTTCAAGAATTCCTTTATGTAAGGCCCTTAGAAGTATGTACAGCATGCATGTGTACAAAGCCAGTGACAACAGACAAATATAACTAAGTTTCCCCAAAAGGAATCTATGAAGTCAATAGTTATCTTCCCAAGCAGATGAAAAAATGCGTCCAAAATGATTCAGTGCCCCTACATTTGTGGAGTTATTTAAGTTATGGATTCTTTGTTAGACATATTCTTTTCTTTTAAAAATTGTCAAATATTAGTTTATAATAAACTTTGTCTAGTATTTCTTGGTTCAAAACAGAAATCTTGATACAGTTGATGTCACTTGGCTTTCTTACTATCTCAGTTCAAAGCCAACCTAGGCAGGAAAGTCTGTCACATTCTTATCTGTAACCAAACACCAAAAACGCCAGAAGTGGAGTTTCTCCCAAGTAGTAGAGTCCTAGCTTTGGGGGAAGTTGGCCAGGGAAGACATTTCTTCAGGGACATGGTCCAGCCTCTGAGTTCAAGCTCCAGAACCAGGACAAACTAAACAAACAAACAAGAAAAAAACGCACATATTTCTTTGGGACCATCCATAAAGCACTGGTTTGAGAACAGACTCCTTTTGCTGATCATACTCACTGAATCCTGCTTTTTTGGAATACTAATTGCGCTGGAGAATTCAGGACAAGACTAAATGAATTAATAAGTGACTCCTGCAACAACAGAATCATCTCAATAGTGAAACATCCATGCATAAGACAAATTAAAACCTCCAAGTCTTTGTTTCCTTGCAAAAGAAAGCTTTTAAAACAATGTTTATTTCCTTTTGTTCTATGCTGGCCTTCAATTGGCACATTGTTTCCTTTTGAAATACTTTCAAGAAGAAGTTTTCAGACAATTTTTATATGAATAATGAACACACTCGAAAAAATTACATGTGCAAGATAATGAGTACAGTTTTTATCAAGCATTGTAGCCTACTCCTTGGTTTCCCCTTCCCATCCCTAGACATAAAAGAAATGCAAATCAAAACAACATTGAGATATCACCTCACCCCAGTTAGAATGGGTATAATCAAGAACTCTAATAACAACAGATGCTGGAGGGCATGTGCAGTCCCACTTTTGGGCATTTACCCAAATGTTTACAAACAAGACCACACTAAAGCTACGAGCACAACTAAGTTTATTGCAGCATTATTTACAGCTAAGATCTGGAATGAGTACATTTTTTATCAAGCAATATAGCCTATTCCTTGGTTTCCCCTTCCCATCCTCCCCTCCCCCCTCCATCCAATCCTCCTCCCCCCAACAACAAAGTTGTAAAGTTCGTTTTTGAAATAACGACTTGTACATCTCATTGTTGCAATGGGTCCACCTGTATCCCTATTTAAATGATTTGTTTTTTTTCTGTTCCCCTCCAGAAATTATACCGACATCAAATACAGTGAAATCAGGGGTTATTGTTATCCCGTGGGGAAGGGACATAAAAAGCTACAAGGAAATTATCTTATAAATGTGTTAGAAAAAGTCACATGAAAGAACAAAAAACATTCGAATACATATCTTAGGGTTCATTTCCCTAAAATCAACTTATCTGATCTTTTCTGTTTGACTCAGACATATACTAGTTATTGTAAATAAGGAAAACCATGGGACCTATGTTTCTTTGGGCGTGGCTTACTTCAATTAATGTAATTTTTCCAAGTCTTTCCAGTTCCTAACAAATGGGACAATGTCATTCTTTCGGATGGAGGCATAGGATTCCATTGTGTATATATACCACATTTTCTTGATCCATTCATCTACTGAGGGGCATCTGGGTTGGTTCCATACCTTAGCTATGGTAAATAAGGCTGCAATAAACATAGTCGTGCTGGTACCTCTAATGTGGCCTTGTTTGTGAACATTTGGGTAAATGCCCAAAAGTGGGATTGCTAGGTCTTAGGGGAGCTCTGTGTGGAGTCTTTTGAGGAATCTCCAAGAACCGACCTCAGGACCAGTGGAATAGAATTGAAAACCCAGAAATGAACCTACAAACCTATAGCCATCTAATCTTCGATAAGAGAGCTAAAAAAATTGAAGAAAGACACCCTCTTCAGGTAAAATGAATGTTTTCAGGCTTCATAGAACTAGCACAAAGACATCTTTGGACATGAGGTAACACGCCTTTCAGAGACAACTTAGTAAATACAAAATATAAAATTTAAATGACTTATAAAAACATTATTCATGTACATATGGCCATATAAGATAATGTTAAGAAAAATGAAACCCAAGATAGGGACACAACTTGTTTATTCTTTATTGAAATTGTTCTTAATGTATCTAAAATGTACTATGTGATTTTTTTCGTTTCTCCTCCATGTTCTTCCCGCATGATATAACTCCTGTTTTCACTGGATAGGATGTTGGTGCCCTGCATCTTGCATATACATTTTTCTAGTGTGGGGAGGAGAAGGGAAACAACAAAATGCTGAAACAAAGATTCAGGATGACCTATTGTAACAATGATATGAACAAGACACTATGTAGAAAACGAATTTTACAACTTGTGGAGAGGAGGGGGAATTGGTCAGATGGGGAGGAATGGATAACACAGAAAAAACAAAAGAGGATGTAACAATAAGAAATGTACTCATTACCTTACTTATGTAACTCTAAGCCCTCTGTACATTATTTTTTACTATAAAAACATAAAAGAAACCATTATCCATGAGTACATTAACTTCAAATTCCATAAATGCTCTTAAATTAAATTTAACTTGGAGAAGATTCTCAGAAAAATTTATTTGTGTGTTTGTTGTGAATTATTTCCCAAGTGTACACAAGTTAACAGTAGAAGAAACAATAGGAATAATAAGAGAAAGAAAAGTTCTGTGTTTAAGTCTAATGGTTCATATACTATGGAAGACTCTGCAAATAAGACAACATTGAGCCAATAAAGCCAAGGCCATTATGTAGATCTATGGGAGTGACATAGAGAAATAATTAATACTAAGAGGAATATGAACGATGAGGCCACTCTCTTTCAACTTCTATCTCTAAATCATGGTTGCTAATCACGCAAATTTGTAAAATGTACAATTGAAGAATAATTCTGGTTACAAAGTAAGTTAGATATAAGAGCATGGACTTAACTGGAAAAAAAGTCCATGGTGAGAAAGCAGGAATTATACTAGCAATGAACTGGTGGCCAAGATCTCATTTCTTTTGCTTTCTTTCATCTTTTTTCTTTCTTTCTTTTTTTTTTTTTTTTTTATGGTTGAGGCAGGGTTTGAACTCAGCCTGGGAAATATCTCTCCATTCTTCAGCTCAAGACTAGTGCTCTACCTGTTGAGCCACAGCGCCACTTCCAGTTTTCTGGTGGTTAATTGGAGTTAAGTGCCTCAGAACATTCCTTTCCTACTCATACAGGATTTGAACTGCAATCCTCAGATCTCAGCCTCCTGAGTATCTAGAATTATAGGCGTGAACTCAAGTGATGGAATACTAGTGATGAGCAAGATTGCTGAATGAGGTTGCTGAGGCTTTTGCATACAAACATACAAACATACACATACACACAGAGGCACATATATGTGCAAACACACCTGCACAAATAAAACAACTCTCAGAATATGGAGAAATGTTAGAAAACAATAGAAAATATATCCTGAGTAAGACTAGATCAAGTGATAATTTTTAATATTAGAAAGTCCTCAAGTGAAATTTATTCAAAGTTTGATAATATTACATACCTAGGGACCAGAGATAAAAAGAAAGTCAATTAATCATTATTAAAGGGATAGGATCCATGGAAGAATGAATCAGAGACCCCTGCAGGTGCATCTGAAAATGTTCATATCCTGTGTGAAATGATAGAACATCTTTGAAAATAGTACATAAACAACTTGATGAGTCAGTCTAATGAATAAGATCATAGGAGAAGTTGAGAATTGCTAGTCTGTATCTAGATTAAATAAACCACCAAACTATGGAAGGGCAATTTGATACAAGCCTGGAATTCTAACACTCAAGCTAAGACAGGAGATTAGAGAGTGGGATTACATAGTGATACCTT